CTTTTAAAAATAAACTGTGGTTTTGATTAATCTGCTTAAGTTTTTTTCAATCTAAAAGTGTCTTCAAAATCGTAGGACGTGTATCATGATTGAGTTTTTTTTATATATATACAGTATAGAGAAACAAACACTCAAGCAATTGACCTTTATTATGGAGTTGTGCTTACCAAGTATGTATGGAGTTGTGCTTACCAAGTATGTGTAAACAAGCTCAATAATGTTTATCGTATTCTATATGAATATCGTAATAACAAAATAAAAAAAGGACTCGCGCACTTACAAGAAACGGTTCTTAGTACAAAGTTTAAATAGATTACGGAAGTGTTTGTTTAAGAGCAATAGTAATTACAAAGCTGTGAATGAATTATTTACCGAGATTTCCAAGCATAGTAACATGTCATTATTGGCCTTTGAAATGTTTAAAACAATACTAAAATGTAATTTTCCGCGAAATTAAACATAACACTGTCGTAATCGTTTATGTAACTATGCAAGAAAGTCATTAACTATATTGGGAGTTCGTTCATTGTATTTGCTAAAAAAAAATAATCAGAAACCTAAAAAATAATCCTAAAGTTTTTGTTTAATGTATAAATTTCGATCAGTAGTTGTAATGAGTATTTACACCTCTTTGAATAGACCTAGATTTTAATTAAGCATGAATATACATGCATGCTGAGGAACAAACTTAATTGTGTAACGCAGAATTAAACATACTGAAAGATAATCTGTATCAAGTCGTACAACTTTTATGGCAAGTAGTTATTATTTTTTTTAAATTTTATATGCTACAAAACAAAGTTCTTATTTTCAGTGTCGTACCTTCCGTAATATAATAAATCGTATCAGCTTTTAAGGATATTCATCGGATTAACACGTCTATAATAAGATAGTTAGGAAATGAATAATTATACAACTGATTAGTATTTACAATACTAGTATCAATGGCATTGTATGTCTTTTGTTGTTTTTGGTTTTTTTAATTAATAATGTGGTGAATTTTGTCTTGTCATGTTCAAATACATTATCGCTGCACTCATGTGAAGCTGTATTCTTTGATTTTCATTGACTATAGAAGAAAAAAATCAAACTATACTTACATTGTAGTTTCGCTTTATTTATTCAAAGAAATACATCTTAGCAGAACTGTATATTTGCAAAAATGTTTGCCGATCGACCCAAGATATATGTGCTGACCAAATTTTAGGTGATTCAAATAACTTCGAAACAGCCTGTAATTCATTGGTTGTCGTTGGTTGCTGTTTGTCATATTTACTTACGTATATTGTTTTGACATGTCTCAGGTCGTTGGTGTCACATTTTGTGATGTCGGGGTCTTTGATAGCTGACTATACGGTAGGGTTTTTTGTTAATTGTTGAAGGCCGTATGATAACTATAGTTGCTTAAATCCGCTTCATTTGGGCTCTGCTTGATAGTTGTCTCGTATGCAATCATGTCACATCTCCTTTTCATTTATTACGAACTGTTCCCTAATTTCGGCAGTTTTAAGGACATTTACTAGTAAAAAAAAGAGAGAAAAGATACCAAGGGAGCATTAGAAAATCATAATTGCTATTAAAAGACATTACCATAGACAAAAATAAAAACAACGAAAGGACAAACAACTATATATATATAATTAAACATGACATAGAAAACTTAGCAACGCGAACCTCACCAAAAACCGGGATGAACTCACGTGCCTCGGAAAGGTAAGTAGTCCCTGCTCTACGTGTGGTACTCGTCGTGTTTCTCAGGCTGGTAAACATTCGGAAATAAGTCACTTTCAGTATTGTCACAATCGATAAAAAGAGAACGACAAGTGGAACATTTCCGTAGTCCTATATGTGACACAGATACTCCATAACGGTCAACCAAACCATGATGGCGTCCAAAAATTTTCAAAGGGATGACTTCAGCATTACAACTTGATACCCTTGATGCACTAGCTTCATTGTAAGCAGTAACCCTATATAAATGGCATTGTAATAGGAAAGGCAGGCCCTAGATCAGCTAGTAGATATATGTTCCGTATGCAGGCTCTGCTTGAATGTTGCAACACAGAAATGAAAAGTTCAAAATTTTGAAAATCAAAATCCTCTCTTTTGTCGTAAAGTTTCCCTAATTGTCATTTTCTAGGAGTAAGTCAAAATATGAGGCAGACTTAATTGTGTCGGTGGAACCGATTATTTAAAGTTCATTAGGATAGATGCAGTCAACATTTTCACCAATTATTGAATTATTCAGTGAAAGGACATCACCTATATTTTTCTTGATTATTATTTATTTTTATATGAAGTCTACCTTAATAGAATAAAGGATCAAACCGAAAAGCAGAGGGGCACAATTGGTTCCATTAAGAATGCGTTTGATATTGAAAATCATGTCCTCCAAAAGTAAAAAACATGTTGTCAACAAAAAATCCAGTATTTTGAAGATCACAGTTTCAGTGAACTTTCTGCTGGAATCAGAGTGGCTTTTTTAACAAAGTATTATGTGTTCCCTTCTAAAACAAGACATTCGATCTGCGTCGGCCTTTCTGTCTTTTAAACAAAGTTGGACATTTTTTTTAAATCTGTTTTTAAATTCGGAATGAGGAATGCTAGTGTAAAGAGTAAAGTAGTCAAATTGGTTGTTATACTATTGCACGAAGAGCGGGACTATTATTGTTTATATTTTAACAGATCTTTTGAATTTTTAAGTCTCCACATTGGATATATGCCAACCGTAGTAGGTAGTTTTTCAGTAACCCTGTATCCTGGTTTTGATTGTTGATAATGAAATTACTGATTAAATGATGCACGAATGTGTTCATGAATTGTAGCTGAAAGCAACGTGTTTCTTGTTTTTAACTATATCACTTACGGTAATACAAGTATCAAATATCAGTTTGTAGGAAATTGTGTTACTTGTCCGCGTTCATGTTCATTAATGTTTTTCTTGACTGGAATCAAATAGGCTTTGCGACATAACTTCATCATTAAAATCTTAACTAGGATTTTCAAAATATTGTTTTAGGTGTTGATAACTGTAAAAGAAAAAAAGGTGGTTTGTAGAGAGTATGTTTACTTTTTGTTACGATATCGAAGAGAATTTCCGTCATGCTAGGATTATTTTAACACACTGTTCGTGGTGTACCTCAACCTTTATATATTTGTCCACTTAATTTAACTTTCGGAGATGTTTATTATCTATATACTGAAATTGAGTACTAAGCCAAACTTGATTGACCAGCGTTCGCGTCTACGCGAGTCTGATGACGTCAACACATTTTGGTTAACGTTTCTTTTGTATAAATAAAAGAGGTATTATCAAATGATTTTTCAATATTTTTCTCTAGTTCAAATACAAATTGCTTTGTGGACCCATTTTACGGGCATTACATTTGCGCGCATTTGGGGATTACATTTTTTTTACGTTGGCGCAAATTTGGTTTTTTTTTTAAATTTGCGTGCATTAATTTTACAGGTAATGCAGGTAAATATAAAGATAATTCGTAATAAATGTGTCGATAGTTATTAATTTTGAACATATTTTTCATTTTTCATTAGATATTATTCACATTGAGTTCTAAAAAACATATTTTAAAGTGATCATAAGAAATCCTAAGAAATTGTAACTTAATTGCGAATATTGCAGGGGGATTACCATTTTGCTTCCAAACTAAGAAGGCTTGAAACACAAACAGTTGTACGTGGAAGTAAAAACAAAAAAGAGTATACGATGGTACTTTTCCGAAAATACCAGAATGCAAAAGTTGACAGAATTCAATCTCTTAAAGCACTGGGCTTCGAATATTCAGCTTGTACCGGCATGTAAATTCTGTACTTTTACTCTTTAGCTTTGCTTTATTTTTACATCTTTATATTTCCAGGAGTTTGTGCTTGTTCATAATAAAAGGACTTATCCTGCTCGAAACCCACTTCTACATCCTCAATGGTGAACAGGGGGACTTAGACTAATGGAAGGGTTACTTGTAAGTAGTTAAATAGATACATTGAATAAGTGTAATTTACCTTGTTTACTTGTAAAAAGAATGCGCGCAAATGTAATCAATAGCTGCGCGCAAACGTAATGATTTATTTACGCGCAAACGTAATGATTTATTTACGCGCAAACGAAATGATTTATTTACGCGCAAACGTAATGATTTCTTTTCGCGCAAATGTAATTCACCGCAATGACTTTGACAGCTATCTCTCAACATGCCGTCGCTGTTATTGCCATCGACCATGCTAATTAATGACAACATTGCTTTTAATTTTCAAACGGAAGCTCAAGTAGAATATTTTTGTTTAAAATTCAAAAGTTCTTTTGGAAATTGATTGCAAGACATACTTTTGCCAAAAAAAGAGTTATCATTCATGATGATTCGTAAACATAAAATTACAAGTAAAAAAAAACTTCAATAGAAATGTGTTATTTGTTCTTAAAGTAATCACTTTTGTATCTTCACAGTTTTTTTTATCAATGTTTCAAAGTATAATTAGCTTTCAAAAATAAATTATATGCAATCTAACTCAGTTTTTACTCCCTTTTTAAATGACCGTTTGTCAATTTTTGACTTCGAAGATGCACGGGAGAATAAACATTGAATTCTCTAAAAGCGTTTAGGTTTAAAGAGATTTCTTGTGAGTTGTGAGTTGTGACATTGCCAATCCTTGTGTAAAAATTGTCTTAGGTTTGACATCATCAGAAGTTTAATTCATGGTAATGTAAAAAAAAACCTGGTAAACATCTCCGGGAAAATTTGACTCTGAGATTTCTTTCATCAATGAATGTATACAATTATTTCAATAACGATTAAATCAAATACATGAACAATTATACACAAGGCCATCTTACGCCCGAAATATCAGTTAGCTAGAACTTACATTTTCAAATACTAGTTTAAATATTCTTAATAGTTTACATCTCTTCCAAAGGTCAATTTTGTGTTATTTTACCTGAAGTAATATTTTCAGATATACGATGTAATAGTACAATATAAAAAACTTACCTAAAGGTAAACAGAAAAAGAATGGAAACCAGCACAGAACAAATACACCAACCACAATTCCTAATGTTTTCGCTGCTTTTTTCTCTCTTTTAAACTTGGCAATTTTATTGGAAATATTCTGTTTAAAATTAGGACGAGATGAAAAATACATGACATGGTCTGAGTGACCATTTGTTCGACAAGGTACACTTTGAACAACACCGTGGCTGTTATGTCTTCCTATGTGGACCCGTAAAGTGATGGTCTCTTGGTCTTTAGAGATTTTGACACCAGCCATAAGGCAGCGAGTGTGCTTCACAGCTTCGCGGTATATACGGTAATATAGCAGCACAATTGTTATCATTGGAATGTAGAACGAAAACGCAGCCGAAAATATGACGTACCCCTTGTCGTCATTGACTAAGCATCTCCGGGAGTCAGGATCAGGTTCTTTCCTCCATCCGAGTAAAGGCCCAAGGGAAACGGCCGCGGATAATATCCATACGACCGCTATGACTATAAAAGCTCGTGATTCTGTCATGATTGATGAGTGTCGTAGGGGTCGGGTGACGCCAATATATCGGTCAACGCTTATTACGCATAGGGTCGTTATCGAAGCCGTGCACAATAAAACATCCACAGCAGCCCATATTTCACAGAACTGTCGCTCAAATGGCCAATATCCGAGTATTTCTAATGTAGCCGAAAATGGTAAAACTAATATACCTAAAAGCAAGTCTGCAACGGCAAGATTGACTATGAAAAAGTTTGTCGTACTTCTTAAATGGATGTTATAAAATACAGCAAGTAGTACTAAAATATTTCCAAAAATTGTCCCTATAATAATTAATCCTAAAACTATTCCAACAATCACAGAAACGTGTACTTCTAAAGTAGGAAATATAAATTCCTTACTTAAAATAGAAGCACTGGAGTTATTATAAAGACTCATTCCTCTCTTGAATGTGCTTCATTCTTCATTGAAAAAGATATTTGAAAAGTATTCTATCAGTTACGACTGACAATGTCATTGATTATTAGCGATTCATCCTAACATGCGTGGTACATGCCATCTACAGTATACAACTTTTAAGTAAACTGTACAGTTAATATATACATCTCAACAAAGAATACAAAATCATAGATAGTACGAAAATTTATGGAATTAAAACGTATTTATTTTATAAACTTCTTATACGTGTCGGCTGTAGTATTGATATTTGAATCGCATGTGAACAATCATAGCTGTCTATTGCTACCAGTAAGATTGGCATCAGAAATTGATTCCAGTGATATTATTTAAGAAAATCGGAAATAGATAACATTAAAAAGACTGTGAATATTTTAATTCGTGTTTAAGAAAGAGTTAGCAGCAGCTTTTAAAACCAAACAAGTAATAACAAGTAATCGTTACGGATGTTTACTTCAATTGACTAGAGAAAATATAATAAATCTATCTTATCCGGTTGATTTGCTAAACCTAAATGAAAAAATACATCACTTCTTAAACCATATGCACAATTTAAAGCTGCTTTAGAAAGCATAAATATAGTGAAATAACTCAGATAATTAACATATTAATACAATAAGCTAAGGGATTTACGTCAATATGCCGGCAAACAAACTGTACTATATATATTGGTTACATTGTTGCAATAAAGTGGTTTTTATTCCTTAAAATATCCGGTTATGACCCGTAAATTGCCTTGTCTTTTCAACCTTTGAATTACACTGAATTACTCATGACACATTAAGATTGTGGCGGGGTTAAACTTGATTGAAAGTGCTCACTCCCTACTTTGGTAACAGCGCATTATAAGAAAAAGGTGTAACTATCAAAAGGACTATAGACACAAAGAACTTATCTAAGAGTACTGACAGTGTCTTAAAGTTAGTTCACATTCAATTTCATCTAATAGATTTTACCATTAAGTTGTGGTCACATTAACTTGAAAGTATAGACGCTCATTGTGGTCTAAACTTTTAACAATATATGCCAAAATAAGGGTTTTGACCAATATATTGCGGTTAACTTAACATTGGAATGTGATAGTGCGAGCGTGGTTTTCTATGTCCATATGATCTAGTTCTATTATAAATTTAAAAAAAAATAATTTATCAAAAGTTTTGACAATCAATGATATTTGTATTCTTAGTGTTTAAGTTGTTAAGTTGTGAAAACGTTACATCTAATAAAATCTGAGTCACTCAAACAATATAATATCGAACCACCTAAGAAAAGTAAATGCTTCATAAGAAAGAGCAATATAAAAACACCACTCGGAAAAGAACAAAAAATAAGGGAGAATGGAAGGACACCATGTTTGATTTATGTATGGAGATAAAACCGTGAAAAATTCTTATATCAATTTGATTTATCTTTTTACTCTGAATTCTATAAAGTTTATGTATAGACTTCTGTATACTGTTGAAATCCGTGTGCACACCTGAAGATGCTCTTTTTTATGTTATTATTTTACCTAACGAGTATTGAAATTCGAAGGCGACATGCTAACTGTTGTAAACAGACTTAGTATTTCAGTAGATAAAAGATCTATTCAGAGTGAGTTTTTGACATAAAAACTTTTTCTTATTTACTAAGAGCATATGGTCTGCTATATTTTATCGATAGAATCATCTTAAGTTGAGAGCGTCTGTAAGAATTCATCTGACCTTGACCTTTTTTCATGAATAAAACCAATGTTAGGTTTTCGTGTTTAAGTCTTTTTTTCTGTTACTACGAGTGTTAGTTCAACATTTTTTGGACTTCATTTTATATTTTAGTAATGAATAAAAAGTTTTCAATGTCAATACGATGCAACAGTATCTTACAGATGTTCGAAATTTCATAGATTTATTTAGGATATAAATCAAAATTCAAACAAAAAACATTTAAAAACGGAAAAATCGAAACGTAACGAGACCGGATGTTTCAACAGGCTATGAATGCATTTACCGCCATGCATATCCACACCACGTGATCCACACTCAATATCACAAGTGGGAGAAGGACACAATCGGTTATTTATAGATCAGTGATTCGTGTATTTTAGATGGCGAAAAATGTCTCCTGTGAGTTGAGAAATAAAAACACCGTATCGGTCATCCTATTCGTCTATTCAGTAAAATTGGTATCGTTAATGTAATTGAATCAATATAAGGCTTACAAGCCCGCCTGACAACGGTCAAATACATTGATCACATTTCTATATCTCATTGATTCACATCTATTTTAGTTGTAAAACACTTTCATAATATTTTCTCATTAATCATTTGGTTATATATGTCAAAAACTTTTGAGAATTGACCAGGGGTTTCATATTGAAGGTAAACACTTTCAGATAATAATCAGACAGGAGAAAACTAATAGCGTTGCAAAAGTGCTGAAAGTGACAATTAAATGCGTTTTACTCGAAGAATTTTATTCTCTTTCGATAAATATGACGTGTTTCAGACGTAAACTTCGTCGTGGAAAGCACTTGCGCCATAGCAGATTTACAAAAGTATATTTTATGGATTCTAGAAAATGATACAATTGTCTACTCAAGGCCTTCAATAAAGTACAATGCACATCGATAAAAGAAAAGTACAATGTACAACTATATCCTCAGTGACTGAGATCATGTTCTGTTTCTATTGACTTTACCACTGATTAAGAATGGATTTGGGGTCGTCCTACTACAATGTAGCTTTTTAGTGTAAAGTTCTGTTTTGTTGTTTATAGAAATATGGAGATGAGATTTGCTTATTTAAATTTTTCGTTTTTCCTAGCTTTTGTTTGTTATTATCAATTTAATGGTCTGACAGTGTAATCGATATTTTATTCTGTTTCATATTCTTCTTTCTTGTATAGATGCTAACTGTATAACAAACAAAAAATTAGCGAGAATGACACCATCAAGATGCTTGAGTTTTTTTTATTGACACCATATTTGTTACGTTTGGAGAATGTTTTTTTTTCAAACAATCGACATTCCTATGTGAACAACTTTTCTCCTCTTCTGTCCGACTTGGTTTTTCATTTATATAAAGCAGAATTTCTTATAGGAGCTTCACTGGAAAAATGAACAAGAGCCTGCGTATGGAATATATATATAAAATTTGATACAATACTCCAGAGCTTGTGTTTCTTATCATGATTTCCTTGACAGATGGTTGCTGCTTACAAGGAAGCTATAGAACCAAGGATTCAAGGTGGTTTTTTTGAAGTCATTTCTCCGAACGTTTTACGAACTCTATGAAATGTCTGTGTCACAGATGACTTCGGATATTTTCGAATTTGTCGTTACTGCCCACAATCCAATTCTCTTTTCCTTGATTGTGACATCACCGAAGAAAACTAATCACTGAATGTGTAATTACAATGGGTATTTTGACGGGTGTCACTAGTGGAGCAGGATCAGATCACCCTTCAAGAACACTTGAGATTCCCCCAGTTTTGGTGGGATTCATGTTGCTCAGTCTTTAGTTTTCTATGAAACGTTTTGTGAACTTGTTTGTCTTTTCAACGTCTCTTGTGTCTCTTGACTTATCAGTTTTTAAAACCTCCTTAGTATCGTACGCCTCTTTATGTAGTATTCATGACAATCATAAAGAAATACATTCAAATTCCATGCTGCAAGAATGTGATAGATCGTACGCATGTTCAGCATATAGTTTCAGCTATTTTACTTACACTCTTTATTGAAGTTCAGGTTGACGATTTTGTATATGTTAATGGTTTTTTTTTATTAGAATTTATGATGTATCTTATATCTTCAGTTTTTAAAGTTATGTAATTTAGCTAAAACTAAGTTTGAAACTTTGCTTTATGCCCTAAACAATATAGATTGTTGTTTTTCTTAACTTCTGAAAACAGCGTACCTGATTAAACTTATTCAAGCAACGCCAGTTGTGTCTAATTCTAGAAACACCTGTTATGCGCACGAACAGCATACATGTTTTCCTACTCAGAAATTGCTTCAGGTAAAACCTTTTGTTATGTATCATCTCTTTCCGAACCTTTATATATTCCTGATAAACGTGTCTAGCTCTCTATTTGACTTTGTACTTCGCACCCCCCTGAGGAAAATATTACAACATTTATGTCAAAGTATCGATGTAGAATTTTAATGTCACACAATTCTCGAGGGAAGACGATTATTTTATAGTAGTAAAATTCCTTGTCAGTTAACTGAATTACAGAAAAATGCAATTATCAGTACATGGTGTATTGCCCGCTTACAGGCCAATGCCATGGAACAGCCTATGTAATGTTATAGTTATAAGAATACAGAAAAGAATATCAGAAAAGGTAAAAAACTTATTTATGCTTAAAGAGGCATTAGTTACGAGATATAGAAAAATTAAAATATGATTTTATTTTGTGTTCAATCATTAATGCAAGTGATATAGTGAAATACTAATTCGCTTTTATAAGCAATTTGGTTCAATTTTGTCAAAATAAGATAAGAAACATTGGTGATGAATTACTCACTTGCAAGTGCAAGTGAATAATTCGACCTCATTGAATCCGTATTCATGTGACCTTTAATTTAACCCCTTAGCTGGAGATGGGTTACGCATGTATTCAGCTATTTAAAGGTAAACATACTTTTAAACCTATAATATGAAATCAAACAGACCTAGAAAAATCTAATTACACGTGGACGCTATCTGTTTATATTTATGTTTATATAGGGTTATTTGACCGTCGGCAGTCTTCGGAGGTCATCTCGATAGTTAATTAGATGACGTCTAGACAAAAATGCACACGAAATGTTGATACATATTGTCGAGTCCATTCATTGTAAATTGTTTATCTTAGACTTTTTGTAATTTGGATATAGGTTTTAGGATGTTATAAATCAAATATGAGAATTTGAGTCAAATCGGTGAAGATGAATTTGACAGCTAATGCCCCTTTAAGTGTGGAATTTGGAATAAGTCTTAATCGTCTAATTAACGTATATTGTATTTAGTATCAAAGGGACATTAGCTTCAAATTCAGGGATGTTCACTGATTTGACCGAAACTTTCATATTTGTTTTATAACATACTAACACGAATATCCAAATTACAAAAAGTCCAAAAAGAAACAATTGACAATGCATGAACGCGTTGTAATGTATCAGCATTCCGTACGTAATTTAGACTAGATATAAACATAGTAAAAATATGAATAGAAAGACAGACAAATACATGCAATCATATAAGGACGATTTTTCTATGTCTGTTTGATTTCATGTAATAGATTAAATATATAAATATGTAAATCATGGTTCTGACATGGTAAGAATGCATTTTTGTGTGCTGGATTTGTCAACTAAATTGATAAACCCTGTGGCTCTCATGTGTAATTTTTCAACGTAATTTATTTCTTTTTAATGAAGAAACACGCTGACCACATACTGAACACATGCGGCAACCTATCTCCACAAAAGGTCAAGTTAAAGGTTGCATGAATACGGATTCAAGTAATTAGGTTTAATTTATTGACATGCAAACCAATAATACATCAACAATAGTGTTCGAAAAACTAAGGATTTTCTTATCCCAGGCATAGATTACCTTAGCCGTATTTGGCACAACTTTTTGGAATTTTGGGTCCTCAATGCTCTTAAACTTTGTACTGGTTTGGCTTTATAACTATTTTGATCTGAGCGTCACTGATGAGTCTTATGTAGACGAAACGCGCGTCTGGCGTATTGAATTATAATCCTGGTACCTTTGATAACTATTTAGCTTATTTTGACGAAATTGAAACACACTGACTTCTTATGGCGATATATTATTCTTATCTGCTTTTATAAACAAATCAAGTGAAACAAATCAAACCATATTTTATTTTTTTTGTCTAATTCTCAGCTAATACCTCCTAAATGTTGTATCGATTTCAACGCAGGATTAAAAAAGAGGGACGAAAGATACCAGAGGGACAGTCAAACTCATAGATCGAAAACAAACTGACAACACCATGGCCAAAAATAAAAAGACAAACAGACAATTAATAGTACAGATGACACAACATAGAAAACCAAAAGTTAAGTTATGTAGATTTAATTTAACGAGTATATGATCAAGTTCTCTGAATCTATCGAATAAAAAAAAACGGCTTTTTTTGTTTAAGATGTAGATACTAACGGCCTCTAATTAAATGTGAACACACTTAATAACTTCCTTCGGCATGAATTCTTCCTGCGACAGGAAATGAAACTTATTTCCACCATAAACATTAAATTAATAAGTCTGTATATTTGACTGGTCAATGTCTGTAGGTCAGTATCATTTGATATTTGAGGCAATATGAATTTAAGATTATTTGAAATGACATGTATCGATAGACAATAAAGAAACAGACTAGTAAGGTACTCATTCAGTACTGAAATAAAATACAATCTTCAAGAAGGCGTCGGATAATTTGATAGCTTCTAGAATATTGGGTATAAATAGCTATAAATAGCTATATTATGCATGTACATAGTATTATGTACATGCATAATACTATTCTATTGTTATAGATATCTATTCATTTGAGATAACCACTTCATCAAGTTATTGTTAACTCTTTTCTTTGCGAATATTTATTCACATTATTAACTTGTCCAGTTATTTTTCAATACACTTATAGTAATTGCATCTAGATTAGTGATTAAAAAAACGTCTGGTCTTGAACCGCACGCTTTCAATCAAATGCACCAAACATCGAAAAATGTGAGTTTATAGATTTTACTAAGATATTCACATGGCAAAAAACAAACAAAACAAAACAAAAATTAGAATTAAACAATAAGACATTTTTTTTAAAGAAAAAATTTTATTTTGTCTTCTTTCTAATAGATGTTATTTACTACTCAACAATGTCCTTAATAAGAAACTGTATTAGTCGCCATAAAAAAAGAGTATAATATAAAAACGATTTCTCAATAGATCTGAATTGTACATGGTGAAAAGTGTCAGAGAACTCGTCATTTGATAAACTAGATAGTATATATGCCACATGTTTGATTTGATTCCTATGGTGTACTTTCATACTGCTTATAAAAATCTCAGTTTTTAGATTTTGTTATACTTTTTCTTAAAAGAACATGAATGGTCAAACTAAAGTTAATTTTATTGATAGAAATCGACAAGATAATGTTTGGTTTAGAATAGAACCACTTTCCAGATTTGACTTATGGAACATTCCATTAGTAGTGTAATAAATCTAAATTATGATCAAGGGAAGTACCGATTGATTATTGATTAGATAGAAAGTCACCAAAGTCGTAAAACACTATATGTCTTAGTTTTTAACCGGGTTTTCAGAAAGAAAAAAAAAGATGATGAAAATGGTGTGAAGAACGGCGGAAGGGAGACTGCGAACAAATTCCGTGCAGTAACTTATAAACCGTTCAACCAATACTTTTCAAATTTTAACATTTTGTCTCTGATTAGAAAATGAAGGTCAAGTTCGATATTGACAATTTTTATTTTAACTGTTCAGGACATGTGATAGTTGATAAATTGGAAAATAGATGCCGGTACTTGCACATGTTGGAATGGGAGGAGTGTTGAAGTACGGAGTTGTTTGGTTACCGTCTCATTCATATGTAGACATTACATCTACCTATATTGATTTATGAATATCCATAAATGATATAGACACTAACCATATCTCTACCGTTCACGATATATTCAACTTAGCCATACATTGTATCAGTGGGAGGATGTAACAAGATGCATTGTATTAATTATATCAAAGTGTCAGTCTAGAAATGACAGAGGAAGTTATTTCTCACCATAGAATCCCAAGACACCAAGGTACATGACTGCTAGATATTATAAACAACATGACGAATAGTTGTAACCTTTTCTTGCATTGTTTATGGAATGACATTAGAAAATCCCTCAGTTCAAGGATGTTAATAGTACATTAAGCTTTAGAGATAGTAGATATATGTCACAAGTTTCGTTCAAACTTACAATATGGTATTTAAATATTCAAATTAAAAGCGACACGAATAACGGCAACCACTGATGAGTTCTATTGATGGTGATGGTTGTGGTCTTTGGTTTTTAACATTCAAATACATGTAAAAAAATTGCTCACTATGTTCTGTAGCGTTTTCAATTTGCTAACTTACGTCTAAACTTCATTTTTGTTATGTTTTGCTTGAAGGGTTTCAACGTTTGCCGACAATCGCTGTAACGTGTCTTTATACATTGACTTTTCGGTATGTATGGATTGTCTTTTTATTTCATACTTTCTTTGGCTATGCTTTTTTCTTATATTCTGTTGGCGTTATACTGTAAACGCCTTGGTTGTTAGTTTTGTATTGCGTTTACTACTCCCTATTTGGTATTACATCTGTGACACTTCTGGTGCAGCTACTTGTTTTGCTGAGTCTACCATTTTAATGACTGCTGTGGCAGTCCTGGATTCGGATGAGCTTACAGTTTTCATTTCCCCTTCTTCTTTTCAAGATGCTGCGCGTTTTGTCGCCTTGTTGAGGTTGAAGGGTAACTTTCTTTTATTCCATGGCTTTGTTTGGTTGTGTCTCTTTCTTTATAGCAGGTTTATCAACTTGATTCATTGTCAGTTTGACTGATATAGTGATGGAATTGAGTATGAAGGTCCCCAGACAATAATTCCCTTTCTTACTCTACACGAACTCCATCAAAAACTGGGGTGATCTCAGGTGCTCCGGAAGGGTAAGCACATCCTGCTCCAAGTTAGAAACAATTATATTGTGGTTCATTTGATATTTTGTGATTCACCTGAGTATACAAACAAGTACTTTCTCTCTCTCTCTCTCTCTCTCTCTCTCTCTCTCTCTCTCTCTCTCTCTCTCTCTCTCTCTCCACATGATCACCGGTGATGTATGTGAAAAAGAGTAGTGCATTCTTGGTCAGAATTTAGAATAAACTGCAATAGGTGGAGAGCAATACTTAAAGTCAAGTATCAGCAATTGTTTTTATTTATTTTATTACATAAAAATACTAGATAGAATACATCGAATTAAAAGAACAAGATCCCATTTGTTATATTAGATGGATGGAATTCTGATTTCGATCAACATAAACAGCTTTCAAATATGATAAACGAAAAAGATCATGCTGTTTGAAACACAAAGAATTGATTAGATGTCATTGAATTGTCTTTGTGTGATTCTGATATATAATACAATAACAATGACCTTGTAATTCAACAATAATTATCTTTTGTTTGCATTCCCTTAAAGAGGCATTAGTTACGAGATATGAAAATAATTAGGATATGATTTTTTTCTTGTTCATTCATTAATAAAAGTGAAATAATTAAATGATAATTCGCTTTCAGCACCCAATTTGGTTTAATTTTGTCAAAATATGCAAGTAAATAATTCGACCTCATTGACCTCATTGAATCCATTTCATGTGACCTTCAATTAAACCAATTAGCTAGAGATTGCTTACGCATGTATTAGTCGTGTTCAGCCATTAAAAGGAAAAGAATGTCAACATTGAAAGTGAAACAAAGGTGAACCATTTCGTTGACTGATTCGATCCAATAAAAACTCATTCTTAAACAGGTAAAATCGATGATACTTATTTTTCTAACCTATAACATGAAATCAAACAGACCTAGAAAATTTCAATTGCACGAGGTTGCTATCTATTTATATTTTATAATTTATGTTTATGTTTATATCGGGTTATGTGACCGTCGACAGTCTTCTGAGGTCATCTCGATGATTAATAAGATGGCGTCTAGACTTCAATACACACGAAATGCTGATATATATTATCGAGTACATGCATAGTTAACTGGTTTTTTTTTTTAGACTTATTGTAATTTGGATATACGTTTTAGTATGTTATAAATCAAAATGAGAATTAGAAACAAATCGGTGAACATGAATTTGACAGCTGATGCTTTAAATATTTCTAAAATGTTACATCGGGGCCTTTAATAGTTCACTATATGGTATGTATTTTGCTCATTGTTTTATCGTAAAGATTTCTCTAAACTGCATTGACAGTATTTATCCGAAAACTGTTCAAGAAGGACATCCTTAACCAAACCAAACCGATGTTGGAAGTAAATCTGCATACCGTCTTTCGGATACATTTGTGACAAATTATATGAAAACCAAAATAAAATATAAGGGACTTTAAGTAGGTATACCTGGGGTATGGGAGACAACTCTTACACACGTATTGGAGGTCATTTGTGTGTTTAAATCTAGCAGTAATTGAAGCAGTGTTTTTCTCTGACTGTTAATGACGTCTTTACACTTAATCCATTTGATGTTGGATGTGTACTGATTGATATTTTAGTCTTAGATACATCATTTTTTTTAGTTGTTATTGGCTTTAAACTAACAGTAACTGCGAGTACTCTCAGATCTGTACTTAGTGTCCTTTTTTGTTGTTAGGGATGAGGGATGGATAAATACCCTGCCTCGTCCTGTCTGTGTTTATGTTTGATGTTTTTCTGCTTTGTATCGATCTGGTGAGTTAAGCCTTTTTCAACTGATTTTATAGTTTGTTCTTATGTTATGCTGTTAGCCCACAGTCCCAGGTAAGGGGAGGGTTGAGCGCTCACAAACATGTTCAACCTCGCCATCTTCTTTATGTGCCTGTCCCAATCCAGGAGCCTGTTGTTCAGTGGTTGTCGTTGGTTCATGTCTGTCTTGTTTGTTTTTCGTAAAGTGTTTTGTTTTGAATTAGGCCGTTGGTTTTCTTAATTGAATTGTTTCATATTTTTCATGTCGGGGCCTTTTAAAGCCGACAATACGGTACGGGTTTTCCTCATTGTTGAAATCCGTACGGTTGCCAATAATTGCTTACATCATTTATTTGAACTTTGGTGGATAGCTGTCCTCAACTTATTATTATATTCAAGCATTTATTTTTCACATTTGACTGTGATGCAGTAAGATCTACGAAAACCAAGCATTAGATCAAGGAACTACATTTTTAAAGCTTCAATAGTCAAAAGCTAAAAAAGGAAGAAAATTACCATCTGAACATCCATCTTAGTACAAGATAATGCTAACATAAAATCTACATTAGTACAAAGATAGTACTAAGATAGCAACAGACTCTCAAATCATTGAATTTAAATAGCATCTGCTTACTGATGACAGGGCATTTTGTAGTCTGGGGAGTGTTCCTAAGATAGGAAGCTTGTACATAAGAAAGAAAAAGAAGAAAGGTTATTCGTCCTATCAGAATATTTCTGTTGTTTTGAAACTGTACTGCAATTATTATTCACTACAAACCAGTAAAAGTCTGAAATGGCCTATATCTGTACTCGACTGTACTGATTTTAACTCGACCAGTCTGAATTGGTCTGAATTTTACTCGACATTACTCGACCCCAGTCTTAACCATACTCGACCGTACTGATTTGTACTTGACCCTTATCTTTGCCATTGAAAAAAGTCTGAACTATTACTCGACCAGTCTGAAACAGTCTTAACCCATTCTCGACCTGTACTCGACCAATTTTTCAATCTAAACCATACTCGACCAAAGGTCTGAACAATACTCGACCTGTCTGAACCATACTTGACCAAATAACCTCTACTTTTTTTAGCTGTTAAATTTCATTTCTTTTTTTCTGACATGATAACAGCCACAATAAAATAAAGATATATATAAAAAACATATTTTTACATCCTTACATGATTCTCAGATTTATCAAACAGAGATAGTTAAATCAAATTATCTTATATAATAATTTAATTATATTAATTTTAAGTTTTAGAGTTTTGTTAAAAAAAAAGGTTCTTTTACCTAAAAAACCACACCTTTACTGAGGGTAATAAAACCTTATTAAGGTGCTTCTTGGTTGGCATGTGGGGTTGTTTTTTTTAAATTTAATTTTCCTAAATTCCTAAAGAAAAACTACATGGTTACATACAATAGCTATATAATTATCATTTTAATGAGTTAACAACAACCAAAAAATCACTGAAATTGTTTAACCTTATATTAGAAATATATCTATTCTTATTATAATTTGGGATATATTACATATAATATATATCAAAAAGGGATAAAAAAAGTTAAAAAAATAAATAAAAAAAAATTTCTGAATAGTGGTAAAGTATAAAGTAATACCTCCTGCTTGGGGCAAACTCATTAAAAGATCACACCTGGTCAGAGAGAATTAATTTCTAATTAACATTCAGTAAAAATTGCAACATCCTGTAAAACTTAAATCGCAAGGCCTTTTGAATTCACTAGATAAGTAAGTTCTTCTTGTATGCCATGTCTTTAATTTTGACGAAAGTTATTTAAATTTTATTCAAATAAATTTTTCCTGCAACTTTGGAACACATTTCCTTTTTTAAATGGTGATCAAGGATTGCTACGGAAGTTCTATTATGATGATTATAGTAAATTCTTGGTTTTACAAAACAAAGGTGTGATCTTTTAAATTTATTAAGTTGCTTTATATACTATTCTAAATATATTTTAATAAAAAAAATGTTCACTGCATTATTAACTAAACTCAACTGACACCATAAATCTATACATGGCTTAAGTAAATGGTGAAAATTGTCCAGTAACCATAAAATATATCTGAAACATTCAAAAAATTTTGAATAACATTGAAAATATTAGTCACAATTCAGTTTTGAGATTATTGGATCAGCTTGTTTTATTCTTATTTTAGAGGTGATATATATATATGTAAGTGTTGATGAATATGGTGTTGAATTTATATTATGTTTATTTTTAACATTTTGGTTTCAATGCCATATTGAATACATTTTAAATATCAAATTGTTGTTCAAATTTCTAGCCAGGGGAAATAGCTGTTAAAAACAGTTCCTAAATTGATGAAATACAATAGATAGATACAAAAAATATGTCTAGGTTGGTTAAGACTTGGTCGAGTATGGTTCAGACTAGGTCGAGTATGGTTCAGACTAGGTCGAGTATGGTTCAGACTAGGTCGAGCATTGTTCAGACTAGGTCGAGCATGGCTCAGACGCAAATAAAATGGTTAAATACTGGTCGAGTGTGGTCGAGTACAAGTTCAGACTGTTAAGTATTGTTCAGACTACAGTCGAGTATAATCAAGTAAATTTCAGACCATTTAAGACTGGTCGAGTAAAAATTAGTACAGCCGAGTACAAATGTAGGCCATTTCAGACTTTCAATGGTTTGTAGTGATTTGGACAATACAATTTTTACTTAAGCACATAAAAATAATGCAAAGAGAGACTGTAGAAGGTTTTGTAGGAGTTAAATGAATGTTGTTCAAACATTTTCCTTTCTTCTTGTGCCTGCAAGCAAACTTGTTTGAAGATTTAGAAAATTTCAAACTCTCAAATTCAATCAAAGTTTGCGATTTTCATGGTTTATAAAAAATTATTATTTTAGCATATTTTGGCAGGAATTAAACGAAATATT